ATGCTCTTCAGACTGTTTTTCTTGTGCCAGCGACACGTATAGACACTATTGTTCAATATGAAACTTTTATGGGCCCCATACAAACTTGACAAATCACAAAAAGATTCTTGTAATAGCGACACGGCTATTTGGCGCTTGGCAAATAACTCAACATACGTTTGTAAGGACGTATGTGAAGTCGATGTACTTTCTCGAAACCAGATCCCAGCTTATGTGAGAAAATCACATGCCCAGCTCTTCGGCCAATCACGACAGCGCGAGAACGAGGTTGAAGGGACGGCCGATGAGACTTGATGATTTCTCAAGGCGGCCAGGCAAGTCGTCGGGTGAATCCCATTTTCGACTCCGATGCAATGTCTAAGGTCTTTGATGTATGCACTTGACGCAAGATGCGAGGTCAGCTATGCTGACACGGTACTCTTTAGTCGAAGGGCTGCCAGCAGGATCAGAGAATAGATCATCACCATATCACTGGCCGTCCGTCTCTATTGCTCTTGGGAATGCTGTTGCTGCGTCTCTCGTCATGACCGGCGGCCAAGAAGAGGCAAGATCGCTCTCGGGGCTCGAGGATTTGTTCTCAATGCTCGGAGATTTATGTGAATATTCACTGCTGTGACTCGGGGACTGCATTGTCTGAAGACCTTCTGTTGACCTGCTGTCATATGCATATGCATGATGTGCAAGTACTCGTCATGCAGCCCTTACGTAATTGTGCGCCATTCGTCCGGAATCGCTGCCGGCGGGCCGAATGCCATCTCTCGCAGTTGTTCGATACATCTTTCCTCTCCATCCTCTCGGCCATGTCCAACATAAAACGCCGCATCTCCTACGTCCTCCCCTCCCCCTCCCCCGACGCCCCTCCCCCCCTCCTCTCCCTCCCGCCCGACGGCCACGACAAGAAAGGCCATCCCACCCCCTTCATCCTCCCCAAAGCCGCGCCCACATTCGGCTCCCGCAACCCCTTCCTCCAAACCAAGCGGGACAGCCAGCAGAGAAAAAGCCCGGGGCACCCGCAACATTGCCTGGGCGTGGAGGCGCTGGCGCTGGATACGACAACTGTCCTGGAGGGAGATTCGAGCCCCGGAGGGATATTGTATACTGCGGGACGAGATGGCCTCGTCGCTTCTTGGGACCTCGACATCCCCCACACCCGGCGTTTCTCTCCCCGCTACTCCTCCCTCGACGGCAAAAAGAAGCCCAAACGCATCCGCTGGGAATCTATCGGCGACGACGCCGAATTCTTCGAAGATGATGACGAAGCCGACCCGGCGGAGGGGAGTGGGAGCGATGAAGAGTGGGTGGATATGAAGAAGAAGTTTGATGAAGTGCCGTATGAGGATAGGTGGGAGGTGGACAAGGTCGATCTTGCGAAACGTAGCCCGCAGACGACGTTCCGCCAGTCCGCGCAGACGCATACCGACTGGGTCAACGCGGTGCTGCTCTGCAACTACAACCGGACCGCCATAACAGCTTCATCCGATAGGACTATCCGTGCATGGACACCGCACACCTCTGGCGACGACGAGTCTCCGTCGACCCCGGCGCTGATAGGCACGCACGACGATTATGTCAAGAGTCTTGCCTGGGCAAAGGGGCATGGGTATCTCTGGTCGGGAGGGTTGGACCAAAAGATCCATTTGTGGGATATCAAGGAAACCCGCGGGTCCGATCCCATTCTTACGGTACCCATCACGGACGCCAAAGACGAACGCGGCAGTGTATACACTCTCGGCACTGGTACGGCCACTTCTCTTTTCTTTGAATAGTGCTGATGGAACGCAGACCAAGCTGGCACGACACTTGCAGCCGGTACAGCCGAGCGTACAGTCCGCCTCTGGGATGCCCGCTCCGGTCCAAAGAGCACAGGCTACTTGATCGGGCACGAAGACCGTGTCCGAAGCATCCTCATCTCCGACTCTGGCAAATACGTGCGTCGCCTCCATCTCCTTTTGGGCTTTAATTAACGACGATGCAGATGCTCACTGGCTCTGCCGACTCTACCATCAAACTCTGGTCCCTCTCCGCCCATCGCTGTCTCCACACATTCACCCACTCCTCCTCTTCCATCTGGTCCCTCTTCTCCTCCCACCCCAACCTCGAACGATTCTACTCTGGGTCTCGAGACGGTCACCTCTGCGCTATAGACTTTGAAGGGTGCGGCGATATCTCTCAGGGGGAGTGTGTCGTGCTTGCGCGGGAAGGGGAGGTGGAAGAGAATGGAAGAAGGGTAGGTGGGACATATGAGGGTGAAGAAGGGATCCGGTCTATCGTGGCGATGGACGACGAATACGTCTGGACGTCTACTGGTAGCGCCGATGTCCACCGCTGGCGAGACGTCGGCCGGCGGATCAGCCGGCTGGACAAGGACTTTGACGGCACATCGTCCAAGCGTAGAAGCTGGCTTGATAGTAACCCTCTCAGCGCTGTAGACCCGTTCAACAAGCGTCTACTCGATTCTGGGGAAGATGGGTTGACCAGGACGGACACGAGGGATTCGAGGTCGATCTCATTCGCCCCGGCGCCTGCTGTCCGAAACAACTCGGACGAGCCGGCTTCACCCATCTCGCCCGTATCTGCCGTGCCCCCAGCCTTACGCGACCGTCTCAACCATCGGACGTCTCTATCAACTTCTTCCTTTGTTTCAGACACTACCACCCCGGAGGAAGACGATGTCGGGACTCGGAACGGGCTGCCTTACAGCGCGCTTGTGAATCTGGCGCCAGATGAGGGTGTGTATGGCTTCGGAGCAGCGAGTGGGTCCGTAGCGTCCTTCGCCCGCCGCCCCGACGAGCCTCGCCAACCCACCGACCCTATAGACCCCACCAAACGCTCAGCATTCCTCAATCGCGACGTCGACTCCGCCGCCATCCCTCTCCGCCCCACCCCCGACGAAGACGGCAGGATCCAAGGCCGAGAAGGTCTCATCCGCTCTGGCCTTTGCCTAGACAAACAACATGTTGTCACTGTCGATACCCTTGGAGGGGTGGCTCTCTGGAACATCATGTCTGGCCTTTGTGTCGGTATATTCAACTGGCAAGAGATCGCCGAAGCTTTCCAAATTACCGTAAAACCCAACGGCGAGGCCGCTGTGCGTAAACAGATCCGGAGGTATGCTACGGATGTTATCAAGCTTGTGATGGAGAGGGTGAATGGGGAGTTGGAGGTTTTCCCATGGTTGGCGGGGATCGATACGAAGATTGGGAGTTTGGTGGTGCATCTGGATGAGGGGAGGGTGTTCGATGCGGATGCGTTTGCTGATGAGTTGGGGGTGAGTGGTGAGGATATTGACGCGGATACCAGGAGTGAGTTCTTGTACGAGCAGGATTTTGGACGATGCTGATGATGAGTAGTTAATCTGGGCAAATGGGCACTTTCGAACCTGTTCAGAGGGCTGATCCTCGCCGAAGAACACGAAGTCACCTCCCACGTTCCTCCTCTCTCATCTCCATCCAACCCCGCATTCCTCGAAGCACCCCACGCTCCCTCCCGTATGCGCGCCCCCTCTCTCTCAATACCTATCGACCGCCCCCAAACTTCAGCCCACCGCAAACGCGCCATGACCGGCTCCTTCTCCAAAACCCGGCCTACGCTCAATATCCCGGTTACGAGTCCTACCTTGGGCCGGCAGGCTGTCTTTTTGGATATGCCTGATGAAGAGGCCAGAGAGAGGGGTAGGGAAGAGGGGTGGAGAGGGTTTGATACGAGCAAGGCGGGGACGCCGGGGAGGATGGGACTGTCGGGTCCGCCGACGGTGGAGAGCCCGACTTTTGGGATGGGGTCTGGTGTATTGAGCAATTCGTATACCAGCGCTTCGGGCAAAGATTACTTTTCGTCCCGCAAGACCGACCCTTCCCCGCCCGGTAACGCGAATGGAGGAGGCAAGGAAAATAATGGCAGTATAGGAAAGTCGCCAGCGACGCCTGGTGGTGGAGGATTGATGGGAAAGTTGAAGAATCTCGGAAAGAAAAAGACGGCTGAATCTGCTATGCCTGCTGTACAAGAGAGAGAAATCGTCAAGGAAGACACTGTGAGTCATCTTCTCACCCCCCATCGATTATCTAGCTGACGATGAGTAGGGTCCAAAAGTATCCGAAAGAGACGCCGCCCAACTCGAGATGCTCGACCTCGTCCGCTCACACCACTTCCACCCCCCACCTCCACACGAAGCCCCACCCATCCACTACCCCCCAAACACCACCCTCCTCCTCTCGGAACAAGTCGGCAACGCCGGCGCGTGGGTGGTCACTTATCGCTCGCAAGTGTCGACTACTGAAAGGGATATGGAGGCACTGGAGATGAATTCGCCAATGTGGCTTTTGGACTGTATCTTTGCGAATAGGGTGAAGGAGAAGCCTGTGCCGAGGGTGACGTTTGTGTTGAAGCCAATGCAGGGGAGCAGTCTGCCGCTCTTATCCGAAACGTGAGTCTTTCTTTCTTGATGAGGGACGAAAGCTGACTTGAGGTCAGGAGCCAAACGGTATTCGCCAACCGGAGTCTGAGAGCGAAACGGATCTTCACCCACATCGCCGACAAACTGAACGACGCAACTCCTGCTACCCAGACAAAGTTGACGTCAGATGATCTCGAGCTTTTCCTCGTCCAAAAGTCGGGATTGGGCGCCATCAATGGGCGCACGTCCGTCTGGCAGTTGAGGACTTTGGCAATGAACATGTCAGAGGTGCTGGTGTATTACGCTTTGAAAGGGGAGAGTGTGCAAAAGTGATTGGGTGTATGGGGCGCGAAAAGCCCGTCTTGACGGGTAGGATCTATTTCGTTTATCTTGTGTTCTTTTCATCTCGTTGTCGAATTCTTATCATTTTGTATCCGGCCAAGGGCCCGTGGATCATTGCTTGATCTCTACGTATGCAGCTTGTACCAGTGCGTCATCACGTCTCCGTCCTCTGCGGAAAAGCGTTTACAAAGGAAGTGATATGAAAGGAGCAACATCATGCACTTTTACGCACCTGATGTCCTTGCATCCCTGATTTGCCGTCCACCACGACGCCTTTGAGAGGGTTTGGTGATCTTTAGCAGTTTATCTGGCAATGCCGTGGCATCCTTGGCTATACATATATCCTTCTTTTGTTCGTACTCCTCGGCGGTGGTCAGGTTAGTCGTATGATCCCTCTCTTTCAATCGACTACTCCACTTATTTCAGATTCCTAGAGCGCTTTCCCTTACTCGTTCAACATCTCCCACCCTTTAAATCGCCCTCTCACATCCCCAAGCGTGGACCGACGACCGATGGACTCGTCATGGCCCTCAACAGCACCCAAATTATCATCCTCTGTGAGCCTCTCTTCTCCCTGCAGTCCCGCAACTCATCCCACCTCCTGCTAACACTCCCTCCTCCCCAGGCTTAGCAACGGTCTTCGGCCTTTTCCTCATCACAGCCATCCTCTTCGCCATATACGCCTCCCGCCGCGCCCACAAGGAAACCCGAGAAGCTGGCGTAGCCGTCCTAGGCCGGTGGAAGGAGAATGGAGGTATGGAAGTACCTCCTGTGCCCAAAGTTCCCGGGCGGGCGAAGGGAAGTTGGAACGGGAGTGATAGGGCTAGTGATGCTGAGAAAGGGCAAGCCGGAGGGGTGAAGGATGAGAAGGCTCAGATGAGTGTTGGGAGGAGGTTGAGTGGATTGGCTGGGATTGGCGCCAGAGGGGTTGGGGTGGGGCGAGGGTCGTATGAGCCTGTACGGCCGCCGCCTGCTGCGGGTAGGGACAGTGGGTATAGTAAATCAGCTCAAGGTCCGAAACCTCCGAGCAAAGATAGCGTTCCAGCAGCGTCGAAAACGAGAACACCGCACTCGCCTGCGCGTTCTGCTGTTTCAGCCGGAAGCTCGACCAGCAGCGGAAAAGCTGTTGTTGGCGAGCATAGGAGCGCTTTGACTCGAGAGAATCTCGCAAAGATTTCTGGAGGGCAGGAAAGGGTCAGAAGGTCAAAGTCGAGAAGAGGGCCGCCGGCAAAAAGGCCTGAAGAGCGAAGGGGCGAAGGACGAGAGAGAGGCAGGGAGAGGGAAAGGGGCCGGGAGAGAAGGTTTCAAAGGGACAGAGTTGAGCGTTGATCGTTCTAGTAGTAGTAGAAGTAGTAGTACATCTAGTACTGATACCTATGAACCTGGCCATATAAGCGCATATTCCTTCTGGATCACAACTGACTTACAGCGCCGTAAACCTCTACTTTGCGAAACTCTTCATCCGCCGTTCAACCACTGATCTCAGAGGACATGAATCACTCTCCGGGTTCTTTCCCTCCCTCTCTGCCGTTTCGTACATCTTACTGCAGCAGCGATAGAGGGCTTCAATCTGTTTTTGGCAGCGCGACTCGTCGTAGTTGTTCTTCATGATGCACGACTGGATGGCGCATGCTGCAGGGCTGTCAGTCTCTGCTTAAACGTAGTATAGCTCACCTTCCGGGTGGCAGGCTTGTTTCTCGCTCATGCTGTGGAATGTACAATGTAAAATGGGACGACGACGCGAAGAAGATATCTTTGACTTTCTCGAATGACGTAACCAGTCGTCCCCGGTCTCGCAGCAACCTCGCAGGACTCTGTTCATGCATCAGTCATGCATCATCATACATGTATTCGATATCAGTCGACGGCTACACTGATATACAGCACAGTTGACGTGGCGTTGGGACATGCGGTGAGTACTTTTCCCGGAATGCGGTTATACAAGTCGTCCTTTGTCACTGGCAAGTCACTGGCAAATCACTGGGGAAGTCTCAAATAGGCGCAGGGATGATGCATGAAGATCAGGCTAGGGTCGAAAATAGTCCTCAGTTTACTGCTGCATCTACACCAACAGCGCATCCTTTGTAGAGTGTCGGTATGTCGGCGCCCCAACAGGAGAAGCTGAGCTTCAACCACCATTCCTATATATGTTTGCGATAATGCAAACGGTCTTGTTATCAAAATTTGTTTACCCTCAAGCTTTGTTAGAAAAGAAGAAGCGCCGCTTTAGGGACACGATGGACTCAACAGAAGCAGCGCAAAGCCAGAAGGATGTCGATTCGACGAACTCTGCCAAGTGGAAGGATTTCGCTTTGGACCGAATGACCAGTATGACTAAAGTACATAGCCTCATACCGGTCTGAGCCCGCTGATTGAGGATTACTAGGAAGAATTCCAAAAGTCATTGAATGTTTGCGAGAGCTACACCATTGATCACGGGGGGTCAATCGAAGAGTTCTACAATTTTCTCAAGGACTCCGTGGCGAGGATGTGACCGAAGACCCCCAGAATGAAGAGTCTCAAGAACCAGCAGGCAGCAGTTCCACAGCAATCAATGCAGAGACTGGTGCGTTCATAATTGATCGTCCAGTGAGGATACTGGTCGGCTGAGCTCGTCGTTTGTGTTCTGACAAACACATCTAACAATCATAGCGGACACGGCTCAGAGACCTTCGTGGAGAAACAGGTTGAATAGCACTCCTGAATGGGCGGAAAAAGGTCAGTATCACACGTCGAATAATTTTTCAATGGTGGCGCCAAAAGGGCTGACATTGCCATTGAAGAAATGTCGGTAAGAAGGCTGAGGGATATCGTGAGGAAAAAAGAAGGCATTTGTTACCTATCCGTGCACAAGACAGCAACGATGGCAGTGCTGCTACTGCTGCGGATGCTGATAAAGACGAAGCCACAGAGTTGGAATAGATTCAGGCGACGAGGGGAGCTAATAGGAGCGAGGACGATGTCTCGTAGTGCTTTTGGCCCCTTGATCTTCAGTCAACTGCAGTCGAATCTGGGCGGTATGCATATACATCTGATGTGCATTCACTCATGGTTCGCGCTGCGTTCAACGACCGGCGCTGAGTTGTCACAAAAGATTATAACGCTGAGCTGTCACAGATTATCCATGATTATAGCCACAATATATGCAATGAGTCATTTGGCCGCCGGGAGAGCGTCTGTGGTTGAGGCTATGAATCCTGTCGCTGTGCGCCAGGCTGCCGAAGCTACAGTTTAGGAGATTGGTGGTAAGCTCCTCACTCACGTGTACTACAAAAAGGCTGACGATGATCAGAACATTCTTCACTCCGTTCACATCATCTCTCCCAGAGCTCATTTGCCACCAATTCCATTGAACCTAACATCGTCGACACCCTTTCCCATAATTATATCTCTCGGGCATCATCGCATTCCCTCATCGAACAAGCTTCGGAACGAGGAGTGGGGCTCACTCTGAGGGGGGAGCTTGCCAACGCTGCCCAGACGGGCGTGGAGGAGCAGGTAGGCAAGATGCGCGATACTGTCAAGTTGCTCGCACAGGGAGGAGGTACAATAGGCCCAAAGTTGACAGGAGCATAGTTTTATCAGGTCGCTTCGCAGTAGCATATTTCACATTACCCCATCCTCTCCCATTTGAGAGCTATTCTTGCGATGCCGATCATCTTCAAACTCGTCATTGCACTTATGACTTGCATCTCTCTTCATCATTTCAACTTCATTTTCATGTGAGGCCACGGTTTTTTTTTTCCCAATTATCGGAGTAGTCTCTCTATGTATGAGCACCTAAAGTACCGTTTGCGATGCTCCGGACTACCATTTCTAATCCATCAAGGCCAGAATCATTTGCTTGGCCGTACGAAAGAGTTCGACTTACGACCGTTCTGGCATTCGCCCGTCAGTAGCAGCTTGCAGAGGAGTACACGACACTCACACTTCGGCGACATCAGGGAAATTGATATCGCTAATGAATTCTCTCAATTGTTGCAAAGTCTCTTCCGCCTCATGCCCTTCCGGCCTGTTCCAACACACCACTGTCAGCGGACGACAGCACCACCAACCACAGATCCAACACCTTCAGATACTCACCACCATTGTTCAGCGTCTTCGAGCATCGAACCAAACTGTCTCGTAACCTCCTCCTCCTGCTCTGCCGGAGCCCGGCGCACCTCGGCCCTATCAGCATCCCGTTGTCCCCTTAGGAACGGTTCCATAGCAGTCTGGATGATGCTATACAAGGCCGTTTCTGCCTCTGAGAAGGGTCGTCCGTGGAATGCTTGAAGGTCCATGCTGGCTTGCTGCATGACCTCACTTCATTATAGATCATTGTCAATGGACGCACATCATACGTTTTCATAGGCCCGTTTCAGTAGCTCAACAAGAGGAGAAAGAGAGAAGGGGATACATACAAATAAACGTTCGTATTGGCGCCGAAATTATCGACGCCCTGTCCGGCAAGGCTCCCGAGAGTACTCCAATGATCTTGGCTATTGTAATTGAATGTCGTATCTTTGCTTAAAGTGTAGTCGTATGTGTATGCTTCCTCTTGATGGCTTGGGCCTTCAAAATCTTCGGGCTGCTGCGATGCCATGTTGCGGTTGTTGATTGATTGGTTCGCGAGCCGTTGTTTGGACTGATTAGACGAGTCTGGTGTTGAGGACTGTTATATACCATCATCCTTATGTATGTATCATTCGCTCCTCTGATGGTCATATTGACTGAGAAGTATGACTGTCCAAAGTACATGTACACTAGAACTCGCTTCAATGATATGAGGCTGCAGGGATTGATTGAAATCATATTAAAAATGTCAAAGGTTGCGCAATAGTACTTTGATTTTGTGCCAGTTGAGAACCTTTCAGCATATGAAGGGTTATCTTGGCTACCATGCTGCACAAGAATGAACTTTTCGTTGTGCATAGCCAACATGTACCAGAAGAACCTTTAGTGACGTCATGATCAGTAGACCTTCGTCATTTAAACGAAGAGCCTAGCCGTGGGGGTAACCCGCCTCCTCGGTCCTGTTCCTTCTATTCTTCTATACGTGAACAGATGGCTGTCTTCTTCCAATTCCATATGAGAATCTTTTGTACCAGCAACAAAACTGATATTCCAGGTCCTACGTAGGGTGTCACACAAGAACTGGAAGGATCAAAAAACTAAATCATCGTTGATGACTCGATGGAAGATGGTACATTTGGCCTTCACTCTGGTGCATTCTTCTTCGTTCCCGTATATTACGGCGCTTTACCCGCGAAGAGGGCAGCGTCCTTCTTACATCCACGCTTTGAGAACGTCATTATCGTGTCTCCTTTTTCCCATCTCCTCAGACAGTGCCGTCACATTGCTGGTATGGCATGCCATTGTCTTCCTTCCCAGTCGATTCCTACATTCCGATGCGTGTACCTTTGTCATCCTTCTGCTATCGTGAACTTTGTCCCGGGCCGTCGGGCCGCAATGGTGTTAACGTGTCGCAGACCGCCCCATCATCATGTTGCTGTTGACTCAGCTCCTTTGTCTGGCGAATAACGGAAGGCTATCTATAATCGGCATGCGAATGGTACCAACAGGGCTTGAGATACCTCAAACGCATATCTCCCACATCTACTTGAAGGTCCGCTACGGAGCTTGAGATTCCCAGAAGAAGCGACGTCGCTAATACAGACCTCGAGAAGAATGAGTATAGAGTCCGATAAGTCCGGATCATGATACATCCAGAATGCCGCGCTCCCATGGGAGATATATAAAAAGCATAGCAGTAAAATTTATGGCCCTTCAGACTACTGAGAAACAAACATCATAAGTAGCAGTCCTTCAGCCATGTTCGAAATTAACGGGACAACTCCGAGCACCTATCACTCATTTGAACCGTTCGATGATTTGCCCGACTCTCAGGTAAGTCGACACTCAGATCGCAACTCGATGTAGAGGTTGCTGCTGACTATTCGTGTCTTGTAGGCTGATGAAGCCAGCATGACTGAGGATAAAATTACAGCCACTACACGCCATAGCACACCGACAACCCCGAACAACGAAGAGAACAGCTCCCCTTCTGGGGAGCCATCCGAGTCGTCGGAACACTCTACCGATACTTTCGACTCGGTATACTTTCAATATACATCAGCTGAGGAGCAGAGCAGGAGCACATATCACTCATTTGTACCATTGAACAGTTATCCCGCCTTCAAAGTGGGTCGATTATTCTCTCTCGGCGCTTGTCTCGAAAGACTGATTACTTACTCGCAATAGAATGATGATAACTATAACACTGCTGAGGACCTCGTAAATCATCTTGTCAACGCCTGATCACAAAACCGCTCACCACATCATCTCTCGGCGACAGAAAGAAACAGAAGGTACATCACCAGCGGCCAGTTCTCCATTCAAGCGCCGACTGCCTAAGCTCTCTGACGTAGCGTGGTTGTCATGGCAGACCGCATGGAAGTCTATGACGAGTTCGACGACTGAAGAAACAACGAAGACGCCTTTCAGGAGCCCAAAGAGCCCGAGAGATACTTGAAATTCAGGCTCAGTAGAAAACTGTAGCAACAAACGCAGTCTCTCACTCTCAGATCGGCTTCTTCCCCGAGCTGCATCTGCCCATCGAATGAGTTCCTGAGAAGATCTGTGCGCTGATTTCGATCACGTGAGAGGGAGAAGAGGCGTACTTATAGGCGATGGAATACTGTAGCATCGTTAATAAGAGACCAAGTGTGCGTAGAGCTGAGATGAACGTACATGTAATGGTTACGGATACATTAAACGCCGGAACATTGCAAGGGATCCTCCCTTGTCCGAGCTTGTCTCGTTCCCCATCCTGCTCTACTGCAGTTGACAAACTGTCGGAAAGAAAGGAATGAAGCCATCATCGCTACAGCACGGAAACCGCTCTACGGATCTCCGTCGCGTGGGGTGGTAGAGTGGGCATTGATGGCGAGGCGAGAGGGCACCTTCTTTTCTTTCGGAAGGCAATGAGTCCAAGAGGAAGGATACTGGTGTCGGTGTCGTACAAAGGCAGATAAAGGCGGTCGCGTGGTGAGGGATGTGGCAGCTAGTCTCATCCAAGACGCTGAGGGGACGGTCAGCAAGAGGCGCAGGGAACAGTGTCTGGGGCATACTTATACATACGACGTCACCTGCCCAGCTTACCCTGATGCGCTTTGCATGATGAGGTGAGGTGGGTCCAATCTCGCGAGGGGTGATGGGTTGCCAAAGGAATGATGCGAGTAGAATGCAAGAAGAGAGGAGAAGTAAAGAGAAGATGCTTGTTGCGACTAGCCACGTGTCTGGGGGCTGTCGCGGTGACCGTGACAGACAGAGCGCAGACGCGCCGTCATCACCCAACGTCATGCAGTATCTCGCTGAGTCATCTTCCTATATGCCCATAGCGTGTAAAGCCTTCTCCAATTCATTCCACTCTTCTCTCTTGGCTTCCTTCTCGTCTTTTTCGTACAAGTAGTAGTCTAGCTCCTCAACTCCCAGCAAAAGCCAGTCTAGAGTCTCCTCCTTCTCCTCATCTTCTTCTATTAGGTCCTCGTCCTCAGCTTCTTCCCTCTCTCTCGCTTGCCTAATCAACGTCTCGACCTCCTTCCTTTCACCCCGAATAGTTTCTTGTGCGTCACGGTACTGCACCAGCTTGTTGTCAGGGTCGAAAGAAAGCCAGTCTAGCCAGTTCCGGCGGACTGAGGAAAATGGTTCATTGGTGACGCCGCCCTGGAACCAGCCAAGAGGAATATCATCCCATGGTATGGACTGGACATTTGATCAGCATGTTTTATAGATGATGAAGGCTGACATACATCATGCGTAATCTCCACAGTTTCCACAAGGTAAGATTTTGGAATGCTCTTGTAGAACAACTTCTCAGAAGATGTCCTCATGAAGTTCTCGGCACGAACAATCTCCCCGAAGGAAAGATGAAACCCCACGGTATGGGAGTGAGACTTTTCTGCCTCTTTTCTTGGATCCACAACTAATACCTTCTCATCTTTACCAGGCATACTGATGATAGATATGAACACTCGCGACTCGCGTCCCTGCCCCAGTCTCTTGGCTGCTTTGAAAAGAGCGAAGAGGGGATCGGTGGTAACGGATATCCAATTAGAAGGGTGGGGGACAGCTTTCCAGCCCCACCATCCTCCGAGCACATGTCGATATATGCTAGGAACCAAAGCCGTTATCGCGCCACCATCGAGACCCTGTTTGCGGGAGTTGTGCAAAGAGGCATTCCTCCCGGCGTCCTTGCCTCGAGTGCTCTGAACGGAGATGGATGAAAATCCCAGATGGGGGTGGAGGCCGGATATGGTATTGCTGTCGAAATGACGGACGGCGAGCTCACCATCTTCGCACCCTTTTACGATGGCGGAAAGGGACATGGATGATGGTCGTTTGGTGTCCGAAGAAGGGGGGAAGTGTCACGGCCTGCTGGGACGCAGCAGGGGGGAGGACTGGAAAAGGTGATTTTGGAGGGGAAAAGACCTTTTCGGTATTATCGCATAGAGAAAGAGTAGACAACGAGATATGAATTGAGTATATGTACACCGCACGTCCGTCAACCATCCACACAACCTCAGCGCCAAAGCCACTTCAGGGAATTACTACGTGTGACAGGAAGGGAGGAATATTGTCGAGAAGCGAGTCGTTGAAACTCATGTTTGGTCAATCGAAGAAGCAGATCGTTGTTGCAATAAGAGCGGAATCGGGTGAAGTCAGAGCCAGCAGGTTGTGTGCTATTTTCCCTTTAAAATACTTTTCCGCCCTTCAAAGTCGTAGGTGAAGTACGTACGCACAAGAGGGAGCTTACTGACGCTTGACTCAGGGCGCGGCTGTCTAGATGATTAGGCTAGATGCATTGCAAGATCACGATCATCACATTGCATGACTGAATTATGGGATACACGTCGACAGCTGAAACTCCTGGAGGCACTTCAGAAAGTAAGCGGTTCTTTCTTGTGATTTTGCAGCTCGAACAGCAGTGCCCCCCCGTGCTGTTGCCGGTGGAGAAGACGGTGTAAGGCATACCTATCGTAACGTTAGAGCGGAGGCGTATGTTTATCAAGAGGGTAGTGGCTCCCATTCCTCTATCGCTACTTTTTCCAGAACGAATTGTATTCTCCGGAACTTAAAAGATCATCCCGTCGCTGTAAACGACCTTCAACGCTTCATTCGCGCCAACGAGGGTCATTCCATTTCTGTGAGATCTGGGGTTGCTCGTTGGATAGATTGTCAGTACCGCCCATATTGGTGTATTGTGTCTTGGGGCTTAGTTTGAGGATGAAAGAAGATCGGGAGATTCTTCTCTAACGGACGTAAGTACCCCGTACATCCTTCGTCGTAACAGCGTGGCACGTACGAAACGTATTTCCTTCAACACAGCTTCCGCCGCACAGTGGTGCAAGGCGAAGAGAAGGCGTTTTGAAGCAGCAGGAGCCAAAACGATCATAGAATGAACGATACATACATTTCTTGATACATCTGGCAACTTTGACTCTGCCGCCGCATAGCAGTCGGCTACTCGTACTGTACGATGTGAATATTCACCTCAAAATATGCGCAATGAAGTCAGCTGCAGGCACTGTCACTAGCCCCTCCATCGACCGATTGCAAGCGACTAGATTCTGTTGTCCATGTCATGTTGTTCGATCTTTGGCGAGAGTTCGAGGAGAGCCATACTCATAGTACATACTGGAGATGATCCGTCGCTACCGAGTGAGGAGATCTTGTCACGGCATGATGTAGAAGGCCGAGAGGTTGAGCTCTTTGGCTGTTTATCAAACACATATACCCCAAACTCCATGGTACGCACGCATCCGTCGCATCGAGACGACCATTTTGCCTCCGGTCGGTCAGGCCCCGGTATCGTGACCGGTTCAGGACTGTAGCTGACTCTGAGATCTGTTATCGGGGTCCTTGTGCTGCCTTCTCGGCTCGATGTCTGGCTGCTACACACAGTATGTGACTCTCTGCGACAATCTCGCCTCCCTTCACACCGCATAGAGGGCGAGGCGAACCAAAGAGCCAAGACAAACATTCTAGGCACCGGCCCATGACGCATAAAATTACGTGAGAAGCCGCCAGATCTGCCGACTGAGATCTTCTGCCTGCTGACTGCTGCATGATTCTGTCTCGTCCGCATAGTTAGCCCAGCATTCTTTAGGGCGAACGTAGAGTCTACCTTCCCGTCTCTTGGCCAAACGTCAGCCTTCTCATCCGACCAATCCGAGACAGAAGGTCAGCCCCGCCTCACCCACCGCCTCACCTCCGCTAACCTCTCCCGCCGCATCATCAGAGATGCTAGACGCACAGACAAGCACTGCCCCGAGGCAAATCCTTGTGGGTGCATGTGTCCAAGCGTCATCTGCCTCGTATACCCGCTCGGACGCTCGGCCATCCAATGTCGTAGATATATAAACACCCGCGATCACATCTCTTCTCTCTTCCCCATCTCCATATCATTTTATATCTTTTACTCTATATAATATCCACTCATCAGAAGCTTCTCCATGCAGTTCCTCACTTCTCTTTCCATCCTCGCCTTCTTGGGTGCCGCCCTCGCCAGCCCCATCGTTGGCAAACGTTCTTGGCCCGATGTATGTCTCCGCTCCTTGGTATCATGGTGACTGGCTGATGGGTGTGATAGGTCATCGACAACTGTAACCAGGATGGTACTGTCGCTCTCACTTATGACGGTAAGTCCCTCCTCCTCCCGTCCAAGCTCCAGCACTAACGTGGCGGTAGACGGTCCTTGGGACTATGAGGAAGACGTCGCCAACGCTCTTGACGGTGGAAAGGCTACCTTCTTCTTCAACGTACGTCCTTCCCTGCCCCCTCCATGCCTCCTTTTGCTATCTCACTCTCTAAATTCCGGAGCTGACCTGACTTGGCTGTAGGGAAACAACTACGAATGCATCTACGACCGCGCCGACCAGATTAAAGCCCTCTACGACGCCGGCCACACCCTCGGCTCCCACACTTGGTCTCACGCCGATGTCACCGAGCTATCTTGGGACGAATTCCATGATGGTACGTCACCTTGTCATTTGCTTTCTGGAAGAGTGGAAGAACTGATGAGATCCAATAGAGTTGTGGAAGGTCGAAGAGGCGTTCATCAAGATCCTTGGTGTCAAGCCCAAGTACTTCCGACCGCCTTATGGAAACATCAACGACAACGCTATGAGCGTGCTCGAGAACCGTGGTTACTCCAGTGCGTCTCCTTTCCTTTCGCTTGACTGTAAAGACTATACTGACTCAAGCGCAGAGGTGTTCCTGTGGTCGGACGATACCGAAGACTCTCTTGATAAGGGTGCTGCTAGGGGTGAAGAGGTGCTTGATGGTGTTGCTAGTAAGCTCCCTTCTATTTTCTTATCTGCATTTGCATACTGACTTGATCATAGACGACTATCCCAACCCGCACCTCGTTCTCTCCCACTCGACCTATCCTCAGAGTACGTCCCCTTCCCTCTCATTCTCTGTTTCCCTGCCAGGACGAGGCTGACAGAAAGATAGACTCCCAAGAAGTCCTCCCTCACTCCGTCCCCAAGCTCAAGTCTGCAGGCTACAACCTCGTCACCGCCGGTCAATGTGTCGGTACTGACGAATGGCCTTACGAGTGGGTTGGGGAGCCTCAGGCGAGGGATGACTCTTGGACTTGCTGAATGTCCTCTTCTATCCCATCTCCGCCGCTTCATAGTCGCGCTCTCATCCATCTGTATAACTGTATAATCTATTTGGTAAGAGAAGGAAAGATTGCGCATGATCTGTTTGAAATCAACGGACTCTTCAGGTATGGCCAGTCTCAACGTTTATAATTGTCCATATCAAAACCAGCATCATAGTCTCACCCACATACTTCACATTCATTCATTCATCCGACTGTACCATATAATACATGCACCATAATCACTCTGTACGACATCCCATTGAAAAAGGCAGATCCTTCTTGTGTCCCCGACACCTGGGAAACGAGGAGGTAGGCGCTTAGCATGATATCTCAGCTCCAACATACCTGAAAGTTCCAATCTTCCGAAGCCAAATGACAGAAGACTTCGAGTTACAAAGTAAAAAGTGGACTCATGCTTGCCACATGTGCTGTCGGGAACCCGATGGAGAACGCACAGCGCTCGGGACACCCACGTCCGGTTTCACACATGCATGCCTTGAGTTTTGTCAGGGTAGTCACCCGCCTTCAATGCCCGCCCCCCACTTACGCCCTCTCCTTGCAATTTTCAAAGTCCCCCGCTCCTCTTTTCATTTTCCCAGCCCAGCACGAGATACACACAACGGCATCCGCCACCCCGCCACAAATCAATCAACGCCACCATGGAATCCATCGAACTCGGCGTGGAAGATTTGGAGAGGCGGTTTGGTATCATCCTGCCCGAAGGGCCGCCTCAGGAGCAAGACCAAGAGCAATTTGGAGAGGCAGCAGAGGGCGGGAAGAGAAAAAGGTCAAAAGAGGAGAAGGAAAGGAGAAAGTCGCTGAAGGCTGAGAAGCGGGCGAGGAAGGAGAGTGGGCAGCAGGAAGAGTTTGGCGAGGGGAAGAAAAGCAAGAAGGATAAGAAGTCGAAGTCTAAGGAAACTCAGGCCGAACCGGTGGAAGAGTCAAATGATATCCCAGTCGACCATTCTCTCGAAGACCCTGCCCCCGCCCTTACGCTCGCCCAAGTTATCGACAACTCTGCTCGTCATGCAGAAGAGGAGGAGGAGGAGAAGAGGAAGAGAAAGCAGGAGAAGAAGGAGAAGAAGCGGCAAGCGAAGGGAAAGGAGAGAGCTGTCTCGCCGGCGGTGTCAGAGCAAGAGCCGGAGCCTGGAGTTCAACATGCTCCCACTAGCCCTCGCACCCCTGCCTCTCGCTCCACTGCACCAACGCAATACGGCACGGGCAAAAACAAGAAACGTCCTCTCTCCATCGCGCCTTCCTCCCCTGCCCTCGCTGCCGACCGCTCGGCCTCTACCTCCCCGGCTACACCAGCCGCCACGCAGATGGTGTCTATCGACGCTTCCATGGTCGAAGCTGCACTTGCCTCTGCTTCTAGTGCTGATGCAGCTGTGGAACCGCCAGCCAAGCGTGCAAAGACTACCAAGGGCAAAGCTACTAAGGAGAAGGGCAAAGCGAAGGATAAGGAGGAAAAGAAGAAGGATGTCGAGCCGAAGGAGAGTGATACGCAGTTGAGAGAGAGGTTGAAGGGTAAAGGAGCGCTGGATCAGTGGTTGGCAACTGCCAATATCGGAAAGACTGAGTTGGGAAGGTTGGAGAAGGCGGGTGGTGAGTCCATCTCTGCCTAGGTTGGACGAGGAGCTGACATTATCGAAAGTCATCTCATACACCAAAGGCAAGTTTACCGAGACTGAAAAGATTGCGATCCGTAAAGCTCTCGAAAAATATGAGAAGGTACGTCGATCTGTGTTCCCAGATTGACCAAGGCTGATAAATTCACAGGTTCACCGGATGTCGCAAGAAGAGATCGTTGAAATGGTTATGCTCAAGGTCCAAGATGCCCCGGACAAAGAAGCTGTCCGTGAATTCTGGCGAGATATCGGTGCGAGCCCCAGCCCTCACTATGTTCACCTCACTGATACCCATCGCAGCATCTGTCCTTCCCGGTCGCCCCATTCTCAACATCCAACCCTTCGTCCGCCGCCTCATCAACCCTTACGCCCACAAAGGCCGCTGGACCCCCGCAGAAGACGCCCTCCTTTCCCGCGCTTACGCCCAGCATCCACGCGAATGGAAGAAGATCTCTGCCCTTGTCGAGCGTACAGAGCAAGACTGCAGAGACCGATACCTCAAGGAACTCGAAGGTGGCGAGGGGAGAGTCAGCGGGCGATGGACAGGAGAAGAGGTGGAGAGGCTGGAAAAGGCGGTGAGAAAGGTTGTAAAGGGCTTGAAGAGCATGAAGGCCGAGCTTGCTGGAGCGCCGATCCAAGAGGGGGAGGAAGAAGAAGAAGAGTTGGTGGATTTGATGGAGGATGTGGAGATTCCATGGGATCTTGTGGCAAAGGAGATGGGGACGCGCAGTATAACGCAGTGCCGTATCAAATGGCGAGACTCGTGCTCGCACTTGGCTTCGAGCAAGGGCGGGCTGGAGAAGGGTGATGCGGATGTAAGGACGTTGGCAGTGATCAAGAGGTACGTCTTTTTGTTATGGTCAAATGTCTACGTGCTGATGCCGAGTAGGTTGCGCGCACTCGCCTATCCCTCTGAAAAGCACATCGAATGGTCCCGGGTCCATGACGCCCCATCTCTCCTGCACCTTACCCAGAAAGACGTCCGAAACGCATTCTCCAACCTCAAACACAGGCTTGTCAAGGCCAACAAGGAAGGAGGTAATTTCGCAGGCATGTTACCTCCCCCTTTGATCCATGTGTATGTGCTGATAGCCTATCAGAAACCCTGGCGATAATGCAGACAATAGTAGAGAAGAAGGTGCAGAGGAAACAAAGGTCAGGGGCGTTGAAAGAGTTTAGGAGTGACTCGGTCATTGGCGAGTCGGGCGATGAGGCGGATTGATGGTCTGTAACACTATATTCACATGCTATGAAGACCGGTTTATCGTTCTGCGCTCACAGGACAGTACTGCAACCAGGAAAGGAAAATTATCTGCAGCGAAAGTTGCCTGTCGAGATCACGACGTCTGTTTCTGCAAGTACGTTACAAGGTGACTATTCTTCCTGACGTTCTTTTCGTCCAAGATTGAATTGTTCTCATTGAGACTAGGTATGTCTCTATCAGCGTGGTACGGCAGCATCAACTGCAAAGAAACGTACTAGTGGCTCAAGAGGAGATGACCTGTGGTGTTGTGGCGCTCAAAGATCATACCAGCAAAGATACCTCGCAGCTCCGATATCTCTCCTTCCTCTTCTCCTTCTTCGAGAACAGCTTGCTTGGGATGGGGCGCAAATCCCAAGACACCTGGAGATACGAATCAGTATTGGCTCAAGATCAGCTGTCGACATACCGATCCTCGACACAAAATCACCTGTGTTACCGAAATGTTCCACGTGCTTGAACACTGACCCCGTCTTGTCTCTGCCGCCTACCACTTTTGTCGAAGAACCACCTGACGAAGTGGAGATGGGCGCGAAGGGCTGGGGTTCGAGGACAGGGACGGAGAAATGATTGGCAGCGGACGCGAAAGTGTATATCTCCAGTTTGGAAAGGGTTTCGGGAGAGTATTGAGAGACAAGTCGGTCCTACCAACATGTCATACCAACATGTCAGCTCTTATCCCTGAAGATCCAACAAAAAGAGACTTACAACCCACGCGGAGGTTATGATACCGCCTTGGGAATGGGCGATAAGGACGACCTTCTTCTTCTCCGGCTTTTCCAACTCCTTGGTCAATACCTGCTTATTGCGTCAGCACGTTCTCCTACCACCAGCACCTGTACTCACATTGTAACCGTCCCGGATATCAGTCGTCTCCCACAACAAGTCCCTTTGTACCATACACTCCACCAAGTCAAACCAGATGCCGTAGGTCCTGTTGTGAATCCCAATCACAGGTCGGCCGAACAAGTTGAAAAGACGCTCTTGGATGAGTTTGAGGCCGGAGGTGGAGGTTGCAATACCGTTGACACTACGACATGGTCAACACTGACAAAGGAGCTCGGCCGCGCAACACTTACAAGAGCCAGCTCTCCTCAGGGTACTTGTTGCGCTGGTAGTGTTGCTCGGGTGGATCAATCCTCGTACCGCCTTGGAGCACATTGTTGATCTTGATGAACCCCGCAATCGAGGCAACGACCATGATAGGAGAGGGCACGCCAGCCACGAAGGCCCCCACCGCCCCTCCTGTCAAGACGATAGACGACACAAACATCACTACCTGCAAGATCTTGCCCTTGTTGGTGATATCAGCCCCTTTCCCTTTGAGAGAAATTGGCCAGAGGATGAGAGGGATGTAGCTCGCATTGCGGAGGATGGTAAGCGCGTCACGCGCTAGCAAAGCCAAGGGCGAGAGAGACCGGCGAGAGGCTGGGGGGTGAGGGATGTCTGGAGAGACAGCCACTTGAGACGAAGGCTTGGGGTCGCCGAGCGTGACAGACCAGACTTGCACAGTCATTGGTCGTGACGAGGGGTATATGGGCAAGAAACGGAGAAGAGTCATGCAAGGCATTACTCTCCATTGACTGGTGAGAACGGATCGCTCATGAAAATGGATCTAATAGCCGAGGTCCGTCATGTGCCTAGTTACTCACCGGTAAAGTTGTCAACAGTGCGTTCATGTCTTCTCCTCTCTCATGCCTGTCGCTGCCCCGAGCAAAAGCAATCGGGCAGCTGTAACGGGGAGGACCAAGGTTCACCACGCTGCCTGCCACGTACGGGTATCTGCCCAACATCGTCTCCCATGACCCATAACGTTTCCTCTTTTGTATCGTGCGATCCTTTCGTTCAATACCGGAGTCTTACATTCATGTGATTTGAGCCTCTTCAAAGTCAACAGCATGGTATTCGAAAGTATCTGGAGCAACGACTGGAGTGCCAACGAAGTGATCTGTCAGGAACGCTTCGACCCTCGAGAGGAATGGTTTGCACGTTGATCTAGTGTTAACAATTACCATGTTTTATACAACTCTTCATTAGTATAACGGTTAGTATAACCGCTTCTCACGCGGTAGACCAGGGTTCAACTCCCTGATGGAGAATATCTTTTTGTCCCCTTCTCCTTTTTGTCCCATGATTCTTGCTGGACTGGAGAGAGACCTGATCTATTTTTGCTGGACTGGAACGTTAACAAAAGCGTGGCTGAAGATGCTGAGAGTGGATGAAAGCTCGTTGGGAGAGGAAGATGGGATGTCAACTTTTGTTTTGGTCTCGAGGGCGAGAGACGCCGGGCATCCAGGAGGCAGTGGTAGCACTGCTGTCGTAATGCGTATAGCGATGCGTATCATAACAGTGTGATATTGAACAAGAAATGCAAGTGAATCAACTACTCTACTCTCCCCTCGCCCTCCAAACGCCGACCTCCCCGTCCTCTCCTCCAGCAACCAAAACATCCCCATCCCAATCAACGCTCAACAACCGCTCCCCCAACACTTTACCATTCTTCGTCACTGTCCTTGCTTCCCCAGAGGCAGCCTTGTTGGCGGCTTTCGATACGGTGAAGAGGGGTGATTTGGGAGAACGAATGTCCCAGATTTGGACGAGGCCAGAGTATGTGGCGGAGGCGAGGGTGAATGGGGAGGTGGGGTGGCAGGTTACGGAGGGGACGGGGGATGTAGTGGGGAGCGTCAAGGAGATCAAAGATGTCGCTGATCTATCGTCAGTTTCCATCAAACAACAGAATCGTGAGGCGACTAACCTTGACGAGTATCCCACAAGCAGACGGTACGGTCCATACTTCCCGTAGCGATCACCCCATTTACAGCCCACATATCCACACCCAACAGACTCTTGTCAAATGGTCCCTGCCTCACTTGACCAGCCACACCTCCAGCCTGCACATCCCACTCTCTCAGACTTCCATCCCACCCAGCAGACCAGAGCTTGGCATCATTCAGCTTGTCCCATACCAAAGCGCCTACCCTGCCGGTATGCGCCCGCAAAGTGATATCAGGCGTCCTCCTCCATCCGCCTTCGCCGGTAGCGTCCAAATCGGTAAGGCCTTCAATCTTGTCTTTTTCCTCGCCATCCTTCTCTCGGCTCTTTTCCAGCTTTCTGCGCTTCTTGGTACCTTGACCAGGGAGGTAAGAGACGGGGTCGGCAGGGAGCTGGTGCTCGGTAGGTTCTTCATTGGGCAAAGCGTAAAGGTTGACCGACCCATCCCAAGAGGCCGACACGATTTCAGACCCGCTCTTGCTCGCGATAACATCAGAGACGGGGCCAGTGTGGCCGTGCAGAGTGTAGATCTCCCTGGGAGCGGAGGTCTCGTCAGGAGAGAGGGAAGGGATGGAGAAGACATGGGTTTGGCGGTCGACGCTGCCGGCGGCGAGGAGGATGTCGCGTTGTTGGGAAGAGGGGGAGACCCATGCGCAGGAGGTGGCTCCGAGGGAAGTGGGGAGAGGGAGGGTGTAAAGGGTGGATGAGGGGTTGGCGAGGGGGAGGATTTGAAGGTGGGAGAGGTAAGAGGAGAGGAGGATGTAGCTATGCGAGAGTCAGTATTACGTTTCCTTCATTTCCTTGTCAAATTGATCCTCAGTTTTCTCATGCTGGGTGCACGAAAAAGAAGATCCCGCCCCTCTGCGTCTTCTCGACAAGCCTGTCCACGGCCAAAGTGGCTGAGACATAGGACCCTGCAAAGCCCGAAGAAGAAATGCAATTATTGTGCCAAGCCACCTCAGACTGACCTCCCACATCTCCCCACTCCCAAACTTTAATTTCACTTACCCATTCCTTCCCAAGCTCAAGCCAGAAACCCAGTCTTCCACCTCCACCCTCCCAGCCTCCTCAGGCGGCATCACACTCCTCACATACTCGACATCAATTGAACTTTCCTCATCCCCTCCTCGGTTCTTCTTTGCCCAGCTCTCCAAGCTGCCCCGGAGGACCTCGCCATTCACCAAAAAGTCGAAAGGCACGGGCTTACGCCCGTTCTCGGGAGTGTTCTGGAGGACATTGTTGATGAGTTCAGAGAGCTGGAATCGGCGCCAGTCGGAGGGGATAAAGTAGGTGGAGGCGGGGATGGCGTCGGTGCCGGAGCGGGTGAAGAGGTTGATGGGCAGCTGCCTGGAGGCGCCGGGGGCGGCGGGGAGACCGGACATGGTGGTAGAGACGGGTGGATGTAAGAGAAGCGTGGTTCTGAAATTTCTGAAAAAGCGAAAGAACAGCGTCCGGTCACGTGACTGAGATCCTCGTTCAACTTCTGTCTTGACTCTTGTTTGCACTTTTTACACTGTATTCGTGTGCTTGCCTACTTGAGCAGGAGAGGACCATGGGGGAAGAGGCCTCATGTACTCGCAAAGATGCAAGCCTGACTTCTCGGCCTCTATCAGACACAGCGACTGTTCGAGGCGCAACTTGCTTTAGCCTGTCCCTCTTGCCAAAAGGCCAGGAATGAAAGCTAAATGGGTTTGATCCTATAACAGCTGGAGAACATTGTATCATTACAGGATTGTTAAGGTGCACTGAGAGAATCATGTAAGTCGCACTTTCAAGGGGCCAAAAAAAGTTGATGCTTTGGGCAAAAAGATATTCTCCATCAGGGAGTTGAACCCTGGTCTACCGCGTGAGAAGCGGTTATACTAACCGTTATACTAATGAAGATTCGATGACAAATGCTTGCTTTGTTTTGTATCATTATGTTGCATTGGGTTTGTTTTGAAAATGAGGCTCTGGCATCTGCCTTTTCGAGAGCTGTAGTCTTGCAGTATCTTGACATCTTTCGCCAAAGTCCTGTGAACGGCAATGCGGGCAGTCCTCCCAAAGTCGGTCATCGCCAGACTTGAGGCCTCCCAGACCCCCGACTTCCGACCTGTCGCCTCCATCTCTCGCCATCTTCGCCCGCCCAGAACCATCAGCAAAGTCCCTCGCTCGATCGAAGATACTGCTGGTACCAATACAGGGCTGAATGCGAACCGTCTCTTCCGGCGAGCGCAGACACCCGCCGAAGAAGCAGCCCACGCCTACCTCGATACCCACCCTCTTCCAGCTTCTCCTACAGTCTCAGACTTGCTCCGCCGACAGGTCACTTACTCCAAGTTTATCTTTGCCTTGATCGCCCGATCAGAGGATGCCGTGTCGTCTCTGGTAGAACGGGCGATGGAGGAGAAGGTGCCTCTTTCGACTGTAATCTTGACGAGGATCCTTCAAAAGTCGCTAGACAACCCATCCGCCGAGGCCCGCGTCAGAATCGTTCAAAGCGTCATGCCTTTTCTCCCCGACCGGCTTGATGTGCCTCTCCTCGACCTGCTCCTCCGCGCTGTCATCCGAGACTCTTCGCCCGACCCAGCATTTGTCGAGGGTCTCATCACCGACTGTCTCGCGCTTGATGGTGTCACGGGCAAAGAGGGATGGCCATGGGAGATCTGGGACGTCCTTATCACGACCCATGTCCCCACAGCAGACTTTAATTCTGCTGTCAAGCGGCTAGGTGAATTCAAGCGAGTCGTTAGAGCGCATCTCAATGCCCCATCATCGTCTTCCTCTCCGCCAGAACTCTCTCCCGCCCAAAGAACCGCCATCGTACAAGTCTACACCACCACCATGAACATCTGGCGTCTCTCTGCTCTCAAAGATACCACCGCTCGCTCCAAATGTTCGCGCATACCCGAGAGTCTGGCGGAAGATCTGGTAGAGTTCGCAGGAGGTGAAGCGGGTCTGGACGTCAAGTTTCTGAGCGCATGGTTGAGAGCGGAGAAGGTTGCGCAGAATTGGGTGATGGCAGAGAGTATCGTGGAAATGATTGGTGAAGCGCAGGAGGGCTATGAGGTCGGAGAAGGGGGCAGGGAGCAAGACGGCATACGCTGGCTGGATTCAAAGACGTGGACGTCAATCTTTGGTCTCTACACTACGCCTTGCGTTCTACCGCCGACCCGCGTTCTCGCCCGGCGTCTCCTTACCCAAACTTCAAAGACTACTCAAGTCACCGAGCAAGACGCCATACCCAATCCGAACCGGCCTATCCATCTCCCCATCTTGACGTCCGAAGTCGTCAACGCCATCCTTCGTGCCATCTTTCACTCTCTCGATACTACACATCCCAGTACGCCCCCAAACGAGATTGACCTCTCCCTAACCCTCGTCATCCTCCGCCTAAACATATTGAGCGGCACCCCTACCTCCCCGCCAGCCGACCGCAAGTCCATCGACATCCTCTCCTCCTACCTCTACCGCACCGCGCGCAACCTCTCCCTTCCTCCCCACCTCTTCTCCTCCCTCGGTATTCCCGCAATGCCAAATAGGAGAAGGAGGAATGGGAAGGAGAAGACGTGGAGGAGGTTTGGACTGGGGGCGGAAGAGTGGGATGTTATGACAGAGGCAGTACATGCTGAGCGGATGAAGATGGGGAGAGAGGTGGAGGTTGTGCATCTGCCGTTTTCAATGCCTGTTGCTCGTCTTGCGAAGGCTCATCCTTCGTTTCAATTCCCGGTACCGCAGCCAGAGGCGGAGAAGGAATTGTCGAGC